TTTATTCAGTTTATCAAGGTGCTGGACAACTTGAAAGCACCATTACTCTTCAGTATCTTTGCCCAGTCAAAGTGTCAGTCTTGTGTTCTCCACGCAATTACACTAGACTCTAGAGTGACTAGAGGGCAACGTTCCTCATTCTCCCCATGTCTTGAGTAATATACCAGAGAATAATAATCCTTCTGCTAAATCATGGAGAAAACAGTCTTATCACAGTTGACTTTTACACTAATTATGCTTTTGAATAACGTCATAAATCAAGGTTAAACTACTCTTAACTCTGAATATCTCTTATGAACAATAGTGTTGCAAGATTGAGTCAAAAATAAATATAATAGAGACCAGTTCTCATAAAATCAAATTCAGACAATATAGTAACAATCTGCAGTTAAATATGTCAGGTAATCTCTATATATCTTTACATTCATAAGATAAGTTTTAGATCAGTATTAGTGAGTAAGTGAGTGAGAGAGAGAGAGAGAGAGAGATTGCTTCGTGTATAAAACCAGAGTATAAGAACAGGCACCAGAGAATCTCTGCATTTCTTTGCATTCATCACAGCAATACGACTACATTGGGAAATGGCCACTGCAGGAAAGGTTCGTAAACTTGTCTTTTGGTCTCTTATAGTAGTTAATGCATTTTTAATACGACTCAAATCCCATATACGTTCATTTACATTGATTGATCGCATAAGGAAACAATTTACAAGGCAAAGACATCTACAGTTAAGTTAATTTTTATTCCAGACTGTTATAAATGCTTTGAGCTAGCTACTACAGCTATCTTAAGCAAACACTGGTTAAAGTTATGGGGGAAAAAATCAGGATCAATGTCTTGTATTACATTCTTGTGTATATGTTATTATTGTGATGCACAATTGATTGCACTGCTTTACTAACTATAATGCAATATATCAAGACTAAGACTAAATAATATATAAAGACTACATAAAGAGGTTTGGATGCCACATGTAAAAGTGCAAAGTGAGGTATTTTTTGAGGTTCTATTTGTAATTTCCATCAAATTGATACTACATATGCAGTTTCATTGAGTTAATATTTATCTTTAGTGATAGTGATGATAGTGAAATCACAGATAGTTGTGGCTCTAAAAACATGTTTTGATGATTTCATTGGCTGGACAACCTCCAACTACGGTTAGAGAGCAGAGATCATGGAACCACTCAAGTGCAGCATTTATATAGTCATATGTAGTCAACCATTAAACGTCTATAAAACATAATGAATCAAGTTCTTCTGTGTGCTAAAGGTGATTAAATGTCGGGCTGCTGTTGCCTGGGAGCCCAATGCGCCTCTGGTAATAGAGGAAATAGAAGTCGGCCCACCTCAAGAAGGAGAAATACGAATTAAGGTGGGAAATGTCCCATGAAAGTTGTCACAAACCCAAATAACTAATTGAAAATCAGTTGTTAAAGCATGCAACACTATTAACTTGTTTTGGTAAACAAGGATTTTCGCCATCACAGATTGTAGCTTCAAGTCTGTGTCACACCGAGATTTTCCACCTGTTTGAAGGGAAGGACAAGCGGGGTTTTCCCACTGTCCTGGGACATGAGGGCGCTGGTGTGGTGGAGAGTGTGGGACCTGGAGTCACTGATTTCAAACCAGGTCACAAAATAAAATGTCTTGATTTCTATTTTAAAAAGCATAGTTCAGCAAGAAATTAAAGTTAATCATTTATTCACCCTCATGTTTATTCCAAAGCTGTATGACTTACTTTCTTCTGTGGACAGAAAAGGAGAAACTATGTAATTATGTACTGGCTGTTTTACATACAATT